CTGGCGGCTCGGTGCTAGGACGCGGCTGGGAGAAACGGGACCCTCTCTGTGAGCCCCCACCACTGGAGGTTAGGGTTGGCAAGGAAAAGAGAGGGCACAGACTGCCGCGGAGACCGGGAGACCCTAGCTGCGAGCGGGCGGCCCCTGCGATACTCTCCTTACACCCCAGCACCCGCGCAAACTTTTGCGCCCTGAGCGCCTCTCAGCACGCGTGTCCCCAGAGGAGAAGGCGGTCACCTTCACAGGCCCTGTGGAGCCACTCATCCCTGCCCCGCGGGCAGGCATTGGGAGCCCTAGTCACTGAGTTGCCGCGAATAAGGGCCTTTGGGTTTGAGTTTGGGCAGGAAGAAACTGGGTTCCACCGGTTTGTTCCTCCAGCAGCCAGCCCCCAGGTGCCCTGGGCAAAGCCTTCTGCACTTTCCTGCTCCAGTAGGTAAATGGGAAAACCGCTGGTCCTTTGCCCAGGATCCCAGCACGGGCTGCCTGTCCCCCTTCTGGCCTGAAAAGCTGTCTCTGCACGTGGAGGGCTTGATGCAGCCTCTCCTCCCTTACCCTGGGTTCTCATTAGCCAATTCCTTCAAAGGAAAAGTTGCCTGGCCTTCTTGGGGACAAAGGATGTACAAAGGGCAGGAACTTCTTCTGGCACTTCAAGAAGCTTGAGCATTCTGAAGTCCCGACCATCCACTTCCTTGGCCTTCTTCCTGGCTTGATAGAGAGGGAGTAGTATTGGCTCTTTGCTGAAATCCTAGGACTACAAGGAGGGACATCACTGGGCGCTGCCAGCAACTCTGTGGGATTCCAGCAAGTCACTTCTCGGGTCTTAGTTTCCCTTTCCATAAAACTACAGACATAACCCAGCAGCCATCTGGCTCATACTGCTCTAATGTTCTCCTTTCTATTCCATTAAGCTTCTCTGAAATTCTCTCATATTCTCAAAATCATCCAAATGGCTTATTCTTTCCAGAATATACTGAAGGTACCACTTGGTGATTTGCTCAAGATCTGACTTTTTCCCTAGAAAGGGAGCTCACAATGGAATCTAGAACAGTGGGAAGCCACCCAGGACTGGACCGGGTAGAAAGTATTCCCGCTCCAGCCTTGAATGTCTTGGGGATCTGGGCCAGAAGGGGCATTGGGTTCAGGCTCCTTTGCATTCACAGTGAGTCACAAGTATTTCACGTGCAGAAACAAGGCTCTGAGATCCTGCAACTCCAGCATCCAGTGGGGTTTGCTGGCATGTCTCTTTTGCATGGGGCCAAGTCCCATGCAAACCCTAGTTGACTGACAGAAAATCCACCAATGGACAGCCAAGAAGAGACTACATCTCACATTGGCTTATCAGTTTAGCCACTCATAAACTCCTCTAGTCGACGACTCTGCTGCAAGAGTTATTGATAAAAACATACCCCAGGTTTGTGAATTCTCTGTGCTTTGTTTATTCTCTGCCCTAGACTGTGAGCCCTTGAGGATTCACTCAGATCCATGGTTCTCCACTTTTATGTCCTCAGGAAATGATCCTTGAATTGGATTTGATAATTAATGATTGCCACCACAGTTAGTACCTGATCTGCTTGAAAATTCTGAAGGAAAACCAGAATATCTACCACTCGCATTGAAATGGTGATTATGGTCTCTCGATCTGGCTTACTTTTTCTCACAAGGTTATACTGATTGTGGGAAAGACATACAAGTAATACACAAGGTAGACAAATTTCTGATAGAAATAAAGACTCTCCTTTAAGAGTTCCAGACCCCCATCACCCCACTGGTGCACTTTCTTTCCAGTCAGCAGGAGGACCTAGCAGAAGCAGAAGGGGCCAGCAAGAGGCAGCACTCTGAACAGAAGTGCCCGCGGGAAGGAGAGAAGAGACAAGTGGTGCTGGCTGATGCTTCAAAGAGAGGCAGGGGCATTCCCTTCCTAAGATCAAGACCAAGTGGGGGGGAAGGCTGGGCTGGGTGGAAGGAGTTCCCCCTCCCAGCCTCCCTCCTCTCACAGGGAAGAAGCTGCAGAGGGCTGGCCCTGATGCCAGCCACCTAGTTCGTCCCACACATGCTCCCTGTCAGCGTCAGCTGCAGGGCAGGGGAGACGCTGTCTTCTCTGATCCAAAGTGAGCTATCTCCCTCCCCCTCCTGCCCACGCCTGGCTCTGATGGCAGCAGGAGCCTAGAACCTCGATGTCAGACGTGTAGGCAAGCATGCAGCATTCACGCCATGCTTCTTCCCCCAAATCCTGGAGGGCAAGCAGGTAGGGAGACCCGGCTGCGGAGGAGGAGGCAGTACCAAAAGAGTCAGGGCCCCCTCCTGCTGTCCTGCTGGCTGCTGGGCCATTGGGTCTGTGGGGGTCAGACTGCTTGTCTCCCGTTGCATCTCCCAGACTTTCTGGGCCTGCTGTTGTCCAGGCTTTGGCTGGGATAGCCCCTTTCTGACCTAGCAGGGCTTTCCTCAAGTCCTGGTCTTCATAACTCTCAGTGCAATGCAAGAACTTGGAAGGTCACACACAACCTTGTCTCCCTCCTCTTCTTGTTGCCTTTTTCTGTTCCACCGCCTCCAGCCCTGGCCCTTACCAGTCTCCCCCATTCACAAAACTCCCTCCCACCCCCGACAAAAGCCTGCTGGAAGGATGCCTGGGCACCTTTTCAGATAGAGCAAGATCAAAACTGAGACTCCGTGACCCAGCCCGTTCAGGTGAAACCAGAAATCATTTTTCTAAGAGGCTTGGTTTTATAGAAATGCTGATTCTGAGATTTCCTGAAGTGAGATTTTTTTTTTACCTGAATTACTTTTAAAGGAGTTTAATTTGTAGTCTCCAGGTATTAATCTTCATTTCAAAGAACTTGAAATCCTCCATTCAAGCAGTCTTACTCAAGACGGTGTCACACAGGTTCTGGTAGGTAATGTCTAAAAATTAAAATTAATCAAAGAAATTCTCCCTATGCATGTCAGTTCCAGGAAATGAATGAAGTGACAGCAGGTGATACATGTGTCATCCTGTTGTATTTCTAATTTCTACCTAAATATCAAGCATTTGTTTCTGACCTGGCAGGCAGCCAGGCTGACTTACTGTGGGGCAGGGTATCTGGAACAATCCTTGCCAAAGGAACAGTTGACAGCTAAAGGAACTGAGGTTAAATGGCTTCATGAAGGTCACATGGTAGCATAGCTGCGGCTCAGGCTAGGATGTGATCATCTAGGTTCCAAGTTCAGTGCTTATTTTATCCCACCATTAGTTATAGTCCCTGGACATCACGGTGAATTACCATACCCTGGGAGTTGGGGACTACAGTAGCATCAGTTAACTGTTGGATTAAAAAAAAAATCTCATGGTGCAATTTCCCTGATGTCAACTGTGGCTGAATTGGGGGTAGCAGTTGGCTGAGACATGCCCTTGTGTCAAAGAAAGTCATTCTGATAGGCAACAGGAAGCAAGAATAGAATGGAGCAATTTCTTGCTTCATCATTCAAGGAGACTCAGCCAGGTCTTTTGCCCGGGAGATTACAAATCTCAAGCTAAAAAACCTGTTTGGTGGGCTGCTGGGAAGCAATCCCTGGTAGGCTTCAAGACATCCAGATGGAATTGTACCCTGCAGATGGCTGTGATGCTATGTCACTGCAAATCTGTGCTCTCTCTTTCCTAATTCTTGGGGGACCTATAAATTAAGAGGACCAAAAATACTCCAGTCTGACACTCTATGGCTCCTTGATTTGAAATCCCTTTATTCAATCTCTAGTCCATGGTCAAATGCAGATCGGTGATTTATGATGACGAAGCAGACAGTGTAAAGAATTACCTGTATTTCACAGCCCAGTCACCTCCATTCCTGGTCGGATGAGTGAGAAATCCTTCTGGAACTCCAAGTGCCAGCTCTGGACTGCTCTTCTCAATTGATTCAGCTAAGTAGCTACCAGGAGTCGCTTGCCTGAGACTGCTTTCCCAGGTTGAAGGACAAGATTCCAGAGAGGGGTCAAGCATTTCCCCCCTAGCCACAGAGGAAACTGAGTGCATATGAAAATGTTTTCTAAATAGTGAAAAGCCCAGATCACTGTGAGCAGAGCTAGTATCTCAGGGGCTTCTCCATCCGGTGGGGTAAACTGTGCTCAGTAGACAAGCTGTGTTCTTAGGCTTTTTCTAGGAATATGTGTTCCCTTGCAAAAGGGCACATAGAACATGGTTTCCAGTGTCTAGGTGGTAAGTCAAAAGTTTGGATGTTTCTAAAGTAATATCTATTAAGAAATGCAAACTTCTTTTACTTGGTAATCATTTTTGGAGAGGGTTCAGACTATTGATTTTTCTACTGAAGCACTGAAAGGGTTTTAGAATAGCATCTTTGTTTAAAGCATCTTGGTCCTTAGTATCATAGAAGACTTCGCCTGTCTAATAAGTTGTTAACAATCAAATTGTTGGCAGTGGTCTTAATAGAAATGAAATGTCTGCCTAAAGTAAACTTTAGCTGCTTCTGCCTTTCTAGTTTCAGGAAACAGAATTCATTAAACCAGTCAAGCTCTAAATTATTCTTGCAAGCTCAGATGCTTAGGCCTCCAGTACAATGTGTACTATGAGTCCAGGTTGTTTCACGAGCAAAAGGAGCAGAGGCCTCTGCTGCAGGAAGGTTTGCCTAATCCCCGGACCCCTCTGGGCTTGGGTGCTATGAGGAACCTGCTGCTCTGTTACTCATGGTTGATCCTTCCTCCTTTTATAGCAATTGAAACAGATCGAGATGACTAGGATGGCCCAGAGTCAGTCTGGACTCCACAGGTCACATGGCTGAGGAGATTGTCTACCACTTCTCTGGCAGCCAGCTCCATGAAGGTACTTTCTTCCTTAAACCTGCAACTTTCTCAATGAATCAAAACCTGCTGGATCCACTGCCAGTGCTATCAGGGCCTGTGACAAACAGGACACCTGACGATCTGCTTGTAGAGTGTAGTAGTCAGGATTTCTTTGCTAGGACACAGTACCCAACAGCCACTACTGAAAGGAGGCTCATCGTTTTACAGATTTTCAGTCCAGGGTTGGCTGGCTCCAAGGTAGGAACCTCATGGTGGCAGGGCAGGGTGTAGTATAGCTGCTTAGGCTACGGCAGCTGGGAAGCAGAGCAGGGGAACAGCGACAGAGGCAGAGGAAGGAGCAAGGTCCAGACTTAGACATCAAGCCCTTGCCTCCATGCCCTATCCAGACACTCTCATACCCAGAAGTGTGCTCTGCCAATCACCTGGGTGGATCCCAAAGCCAAAAAATTTGACACTGCACCCCAACCACCACAGCATGTTAGGAGGGATCCAGTTTCAAGGTGTGCTCCCATCCGGTTTCTTCATAGACATCTAAGGGCACAGCCCAGGAAAGGGCCACAGCCATCACTGAGCTGCATTTCAGGCCTCACTCAGCGGCACTGCCCGTGTTTCCTGGCCAGCCTTTGTGACTATGTATCAGGTTGTGACATTTGATTCTTTAAATTTAATCTATCAGCTGAATAATGTCTCCAAGACAGTCTTTTTTTTTTCCTTGCCAGCATCCAGTTTCATATATCACACAATATCAGCACTGCCAGGAGGTTTATTGATTATAGCCCAATAGAGACCCAGATTCCTCACTAAGGCCACACAGCAAGTCACATCAGATTCAGGGCCATACCCAGGTCTTCATAGTCTCCTTGTAATAGCTACATCAAGCAGTCCTCAAATCTTAAACCACACCATCTTGTACCATTTTATGTCATAAATTACTTGTTATTTGAAGTCTTAATTAAGGAAAGTCTTATCCTTTGGAATAGAATGTAAATTCCCATCCAAGAGTCTGTGAGAGTAATGTTGACTTTGTTTTTAAGGACTAATAGTCTCTCTAATCAACACTAATCAACAAGTATTCATTAAGCTCTGAAAGGTTCCAGGTTAAGTAAATACATTGCCCCAAATCACTGCTTGCAAAGAGAAAATGGTAAACTCTACTTAGAAAACACATGTAATTCACCTTATTTAAAGCAAGCATTCTTGGCATGAACGATGCTGTTTCTAGTTAGTGTAAAGCACCAAAGTTGTTCTCAATTAAGGGATAAAATCAACATTGAAGCCACGGGCTGTGAGGGCAATGTTCTATCCATACTCTCATTTTCCATTAACGCCATTAATGATGCACATTTCTTCAATATGAAATCATTTGTGCTGTTAACATGAAGCCCTTCCTTCAATTTCAGCAGGGATAGAATCAGTCCCTCCCTGTGCTGATGTAGTGGGCTGTGTTCAGGTGAACATTTCACCAAGGCAAACTGGCAACTGTACTCCAACTCTCAAGGAGCCCAAACTCGGCTGACTCTGTTCTTCCACCTCAAATCCATCAGAGGCAAATGTGTGCATGTGAAGAAAATTTGTGATCTCCTACTTGTTTTATTGTGGGTTCTACATTTATTTTTATTTTAGAAAATCTCAGTATGTATATTTGATACATCATAAATACATTCATTTTGGCATAATAATTCATTTGGGGAATTGGTATATATAACTGATCATATATTTGAGAGATATTGACGAATGGAAATGTTACCTGGTATGCTCCTTCCATTTTCACAAGCCCCACTTTGGCTTAGATCACTTGTTTTCACGAAAAGCACTTCCTTTTGAGCAGTTGTTTCAATTCATTAATTTCTATGAATAGATCTCGAAGCAGCCAGTTAGAAACTCTGTGTAGCACTCACCAAAGTGTATGTAAATTCACTGATAAAAAGATAATACCAACTTTCTGCAAGAAGCGTGTTTATAGCTAATACAAAAACCAGGGTGATTTGTAGAAAGAAGTTCATGATCTCTATGAGATTTGGGAGAAGGCCAGAAACTAGGGAACAAACTTCATAGGATGAGTTCATTAGTCAAAGGCCTTGCCTTCTTGGACCATCAGCAGAATTTCAGACAGTGAACAACTGTTATTAGGAGTACATAGGTTACAATAAGTAATAAACAGGGTCTCTCTGTACAAATGGGGAGAATTCATAAAATTTTTCAAAGTAGACATTCAGAGTCCTTGAGAGCCAAAGAGCATGCCTACTGGCAAAAATATAGGTTACATTTCCTGGTATTTTGAACTGTCAAAACAATTCCTAAACATCAACATGTCAATATTAATATTAACACAAAGTTTTCAAAATTGTTGGAAACGCTGACAAAAATTTTAAGTGGAAAATAGATTATTATCATAGAATGTTAGTGCTCAATGGGAACCTTAAAGATGAAGGATTGTTTAGGCCATTTTGTAGCTGAGGAAAAGGATCAGAAAGGAATAAATGATCAGAACAAAATTTAAAAGCTTTATAAGGAACAGAATCAAAATTCCAACCCACATCTTCTGCTACCAGCCTAGGGCTCCTTCCTCTCCATTGAACTGCCTCTCTGAAAAATGCCCCAGGTATTGGTGTGTTACAAAGAAGTGACACAACTCCTAAAGCCCCAGAGACTAATAAGGCAGACCTCCAACGGAAAGATGTAAAAATGGGGGCAGGGTCAGTCAACAGGTGCCACATGGCGATACTTCTTTGGCTGCTATAGTTACATTCACGAAAGGTTTGTAATAACCTAAAAAACTGTTTTATTATGAAGGGGAAATATACATTATACAATTAAATAAAGAGTAGGAGCCCAAATTGTACCAAACAGATCCATAGGAAGAAGACTGGAAGGAAGCAAATGTACCAGAAGAAAATATAGTCTCAAGTGGGAGGTGAGGGAGGCAGTGAGGGGGATTTCTTTTTCTTTCTATTGTTCTGTCCTCTCGTGTGTGAGTGTATGTGTGTTTTGTGTAGTACTCAGGATTAAACCTAGGAACTTTCACACTGAGCTACAGCCCAAGACCCCTCCCCAACCTTTTTTTTTTTTTTTTT